CCGTTGGCAGGGCGGAGCACAACTACCTCCTAGGCAAGCTTCTGATGCGCCCAGTTTTCCAACCTGCGTGTTGAATTCACCTGCAAGTACAATTATGTCGGAGCTTCGACTCCTCCGAATGAGATGGGAGAGCTCGTCGTAGAAGGCGTCCCTTTGGGTATCAGAACTGCAATTAGTCGGTGCATATGCTAATATGAACAAACACCTTTTGGTGTTACTTCCCTTCCGGATACTGATTGAACCATGGAGACGCACTGCACATAAACGACTGATGACGGGGATCTAATCGATAAGAGAGGACTCCGCCCTGTTGCTTAATACAATACCTACCTCGCATTGACCTACTGAGCGGGCTTTGTCGTCGCCTGATGTGCGAAGAACATATCTGGAAGATAAATCTGGCGCGCTCAAGTGGCTTATGTTAATAGGATCCTAGATACAAGTCTCCGACGTGCAGCAAATATCGATCCCCAAGTTTTCCATTGTACGCGCCAGACAAGCTTGTTAACCTGCCTGCATCAGAGTCCTGAGATTGAAGACCCCCAAATTCAGTGATTGACGAGGCTTTAGAATCTGCAATTCGCTTTGTGGTACAATACTTACAGTGCTATTTGACAACGACCTTTGCGAGCGACAACCAAGTTGCTTGAGGGACTATTACAGGTCGGAAGAACGGGAAAATGGAGAGGGCTGGGTACTGAAGACAAAGAAACTATTTTTTGTTTTGAATGGGTATGATAACTGACGTATCATTCATCTGGTACTTTTTCATTTTCCCACATTGAGCTACGATAGCCCCTATGCCTAAAAGTCAATGGGGACAACCCATCTGTGTCAGAGGCTATTTACCTGTTGAGATAACTGATTTCTTCAGCAATCTCTATTTCATAAAGAGAAGTTATGCCAGTGGGCAAAATTTACCCAGCTCAATTATGAGTGTTCGAAGCTATTTTTGATGTCCAGTGGTATTGTAGCTTGCTCAAGACATCGTCGCTAAATGCAACTCAGTATGCCATCAAACTCTAATTCCCTCATGCCTAATTTCCATGGGTCACTACTCCAGATTAAACGGGGAGAAATGCACCTGTTAATAGTAGTCACAATCCTTCCCTTTCCATTCACACCCTCCTACCTATCACTTCGCGGTCATTCATTAGGCTTTTTCCCTGTCTCATGCTTACGTCTGGTAGAAAAGTTCTACGAGTGCCTGGAAGAGCAGCAGGGGTTGAATAGACACATTGCGTATCAAAATGCATGATTGTTTTGATAGATATTTGGATAGCTTCCTTAATTAGATTTCAGTGTTCATTAAATCTTTCCGTGGGTGTTTGAACCGAGAGGCGATGAGGAAGCTTCGCTGCGAAGGCCGATTTGCGACTGTCGCTTATATTTTATTGTGGACATTCGTTTCTGACGGCTTTTTTGGTAGTTTATCAGGGAGAATGTAACTCGTAACAACACGATCCATATACACTGGTGTTTGCCACTAAGAACAGTGGTCTTGTATCGATTATCATCAACGGTAGATGATTACGATATCATCGATTTGAGTCCATCGTCGGGAAGAGCTTGAAGAATTCCATGTAAGGTGGGATCGTTTCTTATGGCAGTGGCTGATGCTTGATAGAAACAATCCGTGATCTGCGCAAAGTTGAAATAAACGATCTCCGTTGGCTGAGATTGTATATGGGCCGCCCAGGTATTTTTCTGCTGCGTCTCGATGTTCCACTCTGAAGTTTCCGGTGACTACTACGCTTGCCTTCAATAACCACTTTGGAGTTGCTGAGAAAGGTCGTTGCAGAAATCTGTCTTCATCTAGGCTTGCTGCAGTAGGCATACATGGACTCGGTGAGCAAGCATCGACGCTTTGTTCTGTAGTTGTTGACCCCTACAAAATAGCCGAGACGTAGGGCCAAAGTTAGCTATTCACTGGGATCTAGTCACGAAACAAACACTCAGTAATGGCACAGCCAAACTGCGAATGTCGGATACCGACACACAGCAAGTGGAGGGTGAGGATGAGGATAGATCTGAAGAACTCATAGAAATAGTTGTATTGGGGTCTTCTGTGCTGATGCAATGTGCGGATATTGTGGCAAAGCGAAGAGAAGACTTAATAGTTGTCATCATACGATGAAATGTCTTATTTACTCAGTAATGACAACTTCTGACGGACTCACGTTTATACTTTAACTCTGAGTGATACTCCTTAAGCGGCAGAAACAGGAGGCTTCTCGTATGATCTGGGAGTGAGACGGAGAACTACACAAATGAAGGTTTTCCGACGGAGATTACGTTCGCGTCGAAGAAAGCAAGACAGAAGAGCAGAAAATGGTATTGCCTAGTGAACGTGATCATAAGTGAATGCCTACACGAACATAGCGAAAACCCTGTGTACCTTCTTTGTGTTTATCTGTACCAATTTTTGCCGGGTTTCTGCGATTACACTATAAGTGATAATCCCGGATTCCCTCCTGTCTGCGTCTCCGAGTGTTAGTGGCATTTTATACTGTACTCTGATCTCTTTTTGTCGTTTCCGCTCCTCGGTTTTAAGTAACGATTTCGTGAATACAGCCACTGAGTAACGGGGCCAAATTTCCCCAAATTGAAGTACGCAGAAAATGGATCAATCGAGTGATGGTGGCGGATAGTGTGCCGAACGATATTCGGGAAAAAATACGTTACAAACAAACTGACAAATCAGCGGATTTCACGGGGAACCTAGTATACGTACCACGAGTTTGTTTAACTCTGCCAACTCAGCGAACAGATAAAGGTGATCATCCACTTCAGTTCTGTGTGGATCACTGTATGTTTCTGCTGCAGCTCAAAGAATAAGCTAACACAGAGTGATCATATAGCAGCGGGCAATCGTTGACGTGGCTTAATAAAAATCACTGGTCCTTTTTTGCCACCCGTATGGAATCTGCTCACACATTACCGGTTACCAACAAAAGCCGCAAACCCGGTTAGTTGATGGTCGTCAGTGTATTCCAGTCCGCTATAAGGTAGGGGTCAAGCAGTAACTGGGACATCTGAAATTTAACACAGGGGATCATGTCAGACGTGCGATGCACTCAAAAGTGAACATCGCTTAAGGGTCCCAGCTGTCGTTCGCTGTTGTAGCAACATGCCGATTCCCATGATTTAGTCTGTCATACATATTTTCAAGCATGCTAACTTGAATGAACTACCCGATGCGGAACATTCCACCGTATTTATATTTCGCACATTTTGTGGTATCCCCTCGGTAAATGCTATCAAGTGGACAGAACTCGTCTGATTTCGCGACTGGTGACGAATCTGATCGGCACAGTTCCGGAGTAGAATAAAAGACTCCGTAGAGTAAAAGATCACTGAAATGTAATGAAGTAATTGAAAGCTGAACTGACAAATGTTTTCAACCACACTTTCTGCTCATTTTTCAGCTCCTATTCAATGATGAGCGGGGAGCCCTCCATCACATATCCTATTGGCAAACGGGTCCGATTATACTGTGACTCTAATCGAACGTTTGAGGGTTATGTTTACACCATTGATCCGGTGAGCGGGAATTATGTGATATTCCGTTCCCTGGATCACCCGTACGCTCCCACTATCGTGTCCGGTGAAATGGTATCACGTGTCGAGGTAAGTTCTCAAGTGTATTATTTTTTCATGTTTATCATTTTATGCTGACCAAACCATGGTGCAATAATGTGGATTGGTCTGTCTTTTGTATGTGTTTGTTTTTGTATGCAATAATGACCGATTTGTAAATCAGAAGTCGAAGTTCACTTGATGTTTCACAACCTGGTCTGTGACTTGCTGAAGCTTGTCTCATAAAGCTGTAGGAAGATGTGAGAAGATCGCCGTCCATTGGCGGCAAATGTCCGATCAAAGGACGCTCATCTTTAGGATGCTTTGCACGCGCACAGAATACTCAATAATTCTCATCACCCAACCGAGCCGGTAACCTTCACAATCAAGGTATACTGGATCCGGCACATTGTTTTCTTTGAGGTTTGAAGCTAGGGTTTTCCAACTCATATATAAGCTAACAGTCATTGGCTCACAAACCCAACTACAGACCCTGGATTTTGGGTCCTATCCCTCTCACATTCTCGTGAAACTCTGAGAAAGCAGTGGTTAGCTCCTCCGCAGTAGATTATTTAAGGGAGATAGTCCACCCGTTTGTAAAGAACAAGGTGGAAGTTCATGTTGTCTATCAATGATTTCCATCTCAGTTGCTATTTATTTATCACGTACCTTCTCTAATTTGGTGCACCTGTCAATCGTGGTAATCCAATCCCAGTCGAATAATTTCATTTCTTTACTGGTTTTGTTGTGGCATCGTATCTCAGCTGGCAGAGCATGCGCGTACAAAGCGTAGGCGGCGTCCATGCGTGGGTACGAATCCCACCGAGGCTACTGAACTTTTCACAATCGACATACAAACTTCAAATCTGCCAAAGAACAATTTGGTTTTTTTGTGTTTAATTTATCAATCTAGATAGCACCGAGATTGCTTGTCAGTTGTATGCTCAAGGCCCGTAATTTTTATCGTTATACTAGATTCTCTCGAAAATGTTTTAAAATGATGGTCTTTTTGGAAATTCCTTCGAAAACACAATCTGTCATTTGTAATGTTTGCTCTTGTGCACAGGAATTATCTTTCTGACGGTTTGTTTCATTTTCTCCCTCTATCACCGCAATGTTTTCGTGATCTCAAACCAACTTTCATCTCAGCCGACAGCATCTTCTACATTTATTACCTTTGTTTCTAGGAGCTGTATCAAAAATAAACCATCATTGATCGGTTCAATACACAGGAATTCATTACCACGTTATCACTTTGTGAGCATTCTGATTGTTGAAACAGTTTTACTTTGAACACCGTTTCTTTCGAAGTAGAACGTGTGAAGAGCACGAATTTTGAAGTTACGTTCACTGAGTCCTTGAGATTAGTAGCGAAACTGTAAGCAAAAGGTAAATGTTACAAGGCGTTAATCTTTGTCAACCATAGTGACAAAATTGGCAAACTCCAGTTGGTCAATTAGTCATTCCAGAATATCATGTGTGTGTGATTCTGTGTTCGACCCCTGTGACCTAATCACTATTCACTAATTTCATCTTAACCTATTCACAAATATTGTTGCGATAGATAGCAGAGATTTTTCTTGAATTTTGTGAGCTCCTACACATGAATACTGACTTTATAACTCTATCTGGGTTTATTCTCATACACAACACTGATGCAATGAATCTAAAATCTGGTGAATCATTAATGTTCTCCACTTATCGTATTCTTATTATTACACCTGGTACTGCATACCATTGGATGGGTTGAGCCGCGTATTCACGAAGGATTACTGTGGTCTAGAAACCAGGTGACTGAGCCATATAAGACCCCAGTAATAAATTCCAAACATTCAGTCGGATCACAGTAGATGGAGCGATTAACCGGGCGAAAGTTTTGGGACTGGGGAGACTTACCTTGGAATCAGGTAGGTGGATAAAAGTTAGCAGCATAACCGTGAGCATTATTTCATCAGTTTTCTTTGATCCATAGAGGGCTAAATGAATAGCAGTTTTTCGTAATCATGCCATTACATAACATTAAATTTGACTAACTATAAGAAACAGGGGATGAGAAATTCGAGTCCTAATGATTCAGCTGTGGTTCCAATCATGCGTGCGTGTGTTTGTGTGAAAATTGATCACAGTTTCAAAGGTGCCATTCGTGCTTCGATTCCACACTATTGGTCTAAATGTTATTCAACAATAGTACACGCAATCAACTGATTGCTCTCGAGGACATACTAGGATCAAGCAGCATGTTGCTGCTCAGAAAATCCAGTTATCCTGAGGTAATTGGTAATTAAGTTCCTTCCTGCTATTTTTGATTATGCATTTTCAGCAAACTGCTCAATTCACTCCAACATTTTTCTCATACTGAATGCTCTAACAAATTCATTTTCGTTTAAACTTGAATCATAAGAACTTACCGACACTTGAATTACCAATACAGTTTCATTTACCAAACATTCAAAATGATCATTTCTCTGATATCACCGGTACGGCGTTTTAACGGACCACATAAGGAAGGAACATCAAATTAAACGACCGGTTATAGGTTGTAAAACAAGCTTTGGGTTCGACCTAAAGCATTTTTAAAATATATTTAGTTTTCCGAATATAAATTTTGAATTCGGTATTTCATATGACTGACACTATTTGGTTCTATAAAGCCATTTAATTACATGTGTACGAACAATCAGATTAATCGCATCTATGTTTCTCATGATCCGCGAGTGCAATTGGAACAGATTGGGAACACTTCTTCTAGCTAGTACGAACTAGCTCCGACTGAGCTTCTTTCCTTATCAAGGTAGTTGAATGGGGGAGTAGCTTTTTCCCACCCCGGCGGAATATACGTTTTATCGGACTCATATGTCAGAATTTAACGATAGTCGGATTTCCTACATAGGCGAATTGATAAAGACCACTATCTACCTGTCTTCGATTGTTTTTTGCTCACTTCCATTCATTCCTTGTAGCTTGCGTACGTTGTTCCCCTAGGGCTGTTTTTGCTCTATCGAATGCGCACGCAACTAGAATATGCATCTCATGCTGCGTATGTTTTGGGGGAAAATTGAGATGTATGGCTTAAGAATGAAACGTTTTCCTGGTAACCTTATCAGAGAAGCGTATTACGACAGAAACCGGGAATAGGTATCCGTTTTGCCAGTTTCAAACAACATGGGTAAAAATAAACCCTGTAATTTACTTGTGCGTTTTGCTTTTCGTCAAAATTTGGATGATAGATCCCATTGGTAGAACCAGTTAATGACAAATTTCATTGGTGAGTAAAACGATGTCCGGCATACTATCCCAGACTGAGACCCCTTGGAAAT